TGTTATACATTTTCGTATTTCTCTTTGAAGTTCTTAATATAAAAATATGAAAGTAAATCATTATTCTTCGTAATCATTAAAAACTTCTAATCTTTTTATTTTTATACTCCTGCAACATGTTGCTACAAAATATCGTATTTGTTTACCTGAAAATATCGAGTTAGAAATTACATTTACACAGAAGAATATCGACCATGTTTAGTAGAGCGTGTAGTCCGCAAGCCCGCCTACTTCCCGTATAACATATTCACGGCTGTTGATAATGTTAAGATTAGTATTTTTTGAGCAATCTGTCATCAGTCAGTTAAATCCTTTAAAATAGGTAAGGTGTTCAATATAGGCGCTTTGAGCGCCTAAAAGTATGTTACATTTTTCAAGAATGTATATACAATTAAATAGCTTATAATATTAAGGGATAACGTTTCATCCAGAACTTAATTATAACTGTATTTTCTTGATAATGTCCCAATTTGTTGAACTCCAAGTATAGCCTTTAGAAAATTTAAAACACAGACATTGTATATTTAGAAACTTTCGAACTTTTCGTTATCGAAATAAATTGTGGTTTTATATTTATAGTTTGGAATTTGTTTTGGTACGGATTTGTATATTTCCACTAAATTTCTAAAGAATCACAAGTTGCGATACCTTTTTTTTTATACCGTTTTGGAGTTGAAGATAGGCCGTCAGGGAATTTTTTTGTTTACGATAAATTCGATAATTTTGTTAGTAATTTCGAATAGTAATGTTATTTTTCGTGAATTTTTTTTTGTTTTGATTTCAAAAAATTTGTATATAATATAAAATTATTATTTCTTCGACTTCGATTTTTTTTTTTAATTTCGAAAAATTATAAAGTTTTGTTAGAAATTTAAAATAGAATATAAGCAGCCATGAATTTTTTTTCGGATTCGAAAATTCGTTCGAGCTTACAGCGCATACCTCTAAATGTTCTAAATTTGAAGTAAGATATGTATAAGCAACATTTTTTCTTCGATTTCGAAAAGTTTTTTCGAATTGCTTTGCAGTGCGACTTTTTTCTCAAATTCGAAAAATTTTAAAGAGAATGGATAGAAGTTTGGAATAGAATATAAGCCGGCAAGGATTTTTTTGGATTCGAAAAATGCGTTCGACCTAAATGGCAGCGTGTACCTCAAAATATTTTAAAGTTGAAATAATATATAAGCGAAAATAATTTTTTGGATTTCGAAAAGTTTGCTCGAATTGTTTTGCAGTGCGATCTTTTTTTCCCGAATTCGAAATTTTTTTTAGAAATTTGGCATGTAATTCATATAAGTGGCCATGAATTTTTTTCGGATTCGAAAAATTCGTTCGCAGCGCGTAAATCTAAATGTTTTTAATTTGATTATACATATGTATATTACTAAAAATTTAGAACATTTTGATGATGCGCTGCTATTCAGTTCGAACGAATTTTTCGAATTTCAAAATTATTTTTTCGAATTCAAAAACTGAGTATCTCGAACAAATTTTTCGAATTTCGAAATTACTTTTTCGATATCGAAACTTTTATTCGAATTCAATAACTGAATGTTCCAAGTGATAGAACTTTGTGGATTTTTGGTTACAATATGAAATAAATGTATCTATTAGTTATTTTTTTACATTAATATACTAATATTTTCCATTAAATTGTGTAGCATATTTTATCTAGAAAGTATCTCAGTGGATCTTATTTTTTATTTGTAATTTTTTAGTGTTAAAATAAATAAAATATTGATATTTCTGCCAAAATTTTGGCAAATAGTTTATTTAGTAAGTGTCTGTGTGAATTATACTTTGGATTGTTCACAATATTTTTGCTTATATTTCTTCCAAAAATTTCGAAAATTATTATTATATAGAGAGTGTGTAATCTTTTTTTGTACTCTATTCAATGTTTTTGTTTATCTGTCTGTTTACATAACTACATAAATTCATTGAAACATACATACATTCATTCTAACTTCAAATCTTTCGCAGTCTTTCCCTACATTTGTTCTCTACTTATTGGTTCTAATATTAATTTCCGAAATTCTTCATTACTTTTCACCAATATAAATAATAATATATGTACTTTATATTTTTTAGTAGAGCAAACGACTAATTAACTTCGTTTTCTTTATTATTTTTCGTACATTCCAGGAGGACGCCGATTTGGATGATGTAAATTTGGGCGGCGGTACCAATAATCAACCATCCGGTTTTGGCAGCACCGGTATACCGTTCGCGATGCCACCGCCACCGCAAGCCGCCGGAGCCACTGGCGTGAATCCATTCACGGGCGCACCAGTTGCTGCTGCAACAGAGAATACATCGCTCAACGCTACAGAACAGCCGACATATACGCCAGGTATATAAGACAAATAAAAAACAAAACTATTATAGTGTTTAAAATTACTAAGAAGAATAATTAAATACAACAAAAAATTACAAAATTATTATAATGAAGATTTCAAACGAAAGGAATGTGCAGAAAAGATATACATAAATAAATAAATGGTATATATATAGTATATACATATATAAATAACAATAATGCTGCTACTTCGAATATGTTGAAGATGTTGCTAATTTATAACGTTAATATGGTAAATAATTACGTTAACACCAAAGCTACACTCTTACTTGCATATATTTGCGAACATTGATGTTATTGTAATTTGTTTGTTGGCAAAAGAGTGGAGTACGCGTGAAAGCGAAGCAGAAAAAGTGTAATACACCTGCGCAGCATAAAGAGAATCAGTCAGTATGCAAAAAAAATATATATACAATAACAACAACAAATATGAAAATGTGTAATTCACTGTTCCGCCGTTTCCTTTTTGCTCCTTTTATAACAGTCACACTCACTCCCATACACACACATCCACATACACACTAATATACATTACAACAAATTATATTAATAACTGTACTTATTTATACATATATTTAAATACAAATAGATATATACATATGTACTTAATTACCTTCCTATTACATATATGTACGTGAGTAGGTATATAATATGCTATGGCTGCTTACATAAAAAAATATAAAATTGTATTCATATTTGTTCTAGTTTAAGAGTATTAAATAAATTGAAAATAAATTATATTCCATTGAAAAAAACAACAATAATTATTGGTGTGGTGGCTTTTTTTGTTTTTGCATAAAATTCATGTTCATCTGCAAAGGGCACATAAACTACAAGCCTTAAAGACCAACGAACTAAAATGTGTTTCAACTTAGCAAACGAGAAATCCAACTAACACACACAAATATAATACATACACACGTGCACACACATTTATATATAACTGTTTCGTCGTTACGCTTAAAATTACTGAAATTTAGCTTGTTCATTGTTTTTGCGTGTGTTTCCTTAGCAATATTGTAGCGTTTCGAAAGTTATTATGCATAGTCTAACTGTATATTAGTCTAGTCTTATTGAAATTGTCATAAAATCTCGCATACTCAACTCGAACATAATATTTTGCAGCTCATGTATGTATGTATATACAACACATATTAATGTATTTAGATATTCTTAAAATAAAGCAAATTTTCTTGAAAAACTTTTTTTGAGTTATGGAACTAACCTAAAAATATTTTTTTTTTTTTTTTGTTTTAAAGTATACAAAAATGGTTTATTCGGCATCAAAATTTAATAACTACAATAAATAATCAACAAAATTATTGCTTTCAATTCCCTTCGTTTAATTTTCGAAAATAAACTGTTGCAAATGCAAATTTAGATTTCCACGCATATGCAGACTCAAACACTCTCTGTACCAAACCCGAATTTAAGCGGCATAATTCTTTTTTTGAGAGCTGTTATAACTCTTGCTATTTTATTTACACGATCTTCCACGCATTTGAAATCGATAACCGTAAGTTTCGCAAGTTTTTTAAATTCAAATTAACTGTATGGACCATTAAATTTGAAAATCAAAATGTTCGAAAATGTTTTAAAGCTCAAAATACTTCGAAACTAAAAACAGAAAAAAAGAATAAATTCTTAAAGTTCGAAAATCATAATGTTACCAAATTTGAAAAATGCAAATAATTTGAAGTCATGATGTTCGAAAAAGTTTTAAACTTAAATCTTAAGTACATATTATTTATACGATCTTCATTCGTTTGCTTTGAAATTCAAAATCACAATCTTCGAAAGTTTTTCAAATTCAAGTAAATTGTATGAACCCATAAAATTGAAAAACACAATGTTCAAACTATTTGCAAATAAACTGCATGGACCAATAAATTTGAAAATCAGAATGTTCGACAATTTTTTAAAATTCACAAAAAATTATATGGTTTGAACCTAATATTCATAAAGATCGAAAATTAAAACAAACCAACAATTTCTTAATGTTCGAAAATTTTTTTAATTCAAATAAACTGTATTCATCCATTTATTATATTTGGAAACCATTATGGTCGAGAGGTTTTAAAAAAAGAATAGACTATTTGAAACTTCAAAATTTAAGTTCATCATGTCCAAAAATATTTAAAATTATAATAAACTATTTGTAACTGCAAATTTTATATTCATAATGTTCGAAATGTTAAAAAAAAAAGATATTTTTTTAAATTCATAATGTTCGAAAAAATTTTAAACTCATATTTAAAGTTTCAAGTAACGTCTTCAAAGCAACGCAACTTATTAAAGGTTGTAGGCTTTTATTGGTTATTATTTAAAATATCATATGTGTCAGTATTTATCAATTTATGGCGTTGCCATCGTACAATAAATGTTTATGTTGTAATCATGAAATTTTTTATGATTAATCATGTTAGTTCGAAAAAAAATATATTTATGTATGTATTTATTTTTTAAGTGTATGTTACATAAACTCAATATTTAACAATTTTCAAAAACAAAAAAAATTTACAACATTTTTAATAAAGAATGCTCGCATTTCTGCATATATGTATATAAGTTGCGTTTTATCATTCATTATTCATTTATTATTCTAAGGAGCATTGCAGCAGTAGTACTTTTGTTCGAAATATGATAAGAAAAAATTTTTATGAATTTCGAAAACTCATAAAATAAATTTTTAGAAATATTTTGAGGTTTTTTTTTTAATTCTTATGTCATTGCTGGTGGTTACTTTTGCTGAAATGTAATGTTCGAAATTTTTCGAACTTTTTTTTCATGCAAATAGTTTTCGTATCTTTCACATACAATTTTAATATTCCTCATATTTTCTATAGTACTTTTATCGAAAATTTAAAATAAATTTGTTTTATTCATATGTTATTGCTGTTGCTTAATATTTTATGTGCTGTTTTCTTTCTAAAAATAATCTAAATATTCAAATGTGGAAATTAAGCTGTAAAATATACTTGACGCCACAATTATCGAAATCTACAAAAAAACATTGGGAAATTGAAGTTTATTCTTGTAACTTTCACATTAAATTTTAGTATTCTTCATATTTTTTATAGTACTGGTATGTTCGAAACCAATTTCGAAAGTATACAAACCCAATTTTAAAAATTTTTCGTCGTTTGTCTTATTCCATTACTGATATTTACTTTTGCTGTATTTAAATGTTCGAAAATGTTCTAAGTTTAATAAATCTGGAATTTTGCTTCCGAAAATGAAATTTTCCGCTTTATTTACAAAAAAAAAAAATTGTGAATTCGAAGATTATGGGAATAGTGTTTATATCATTGACATAAAATTTTGTACTTTCAAAAGCATCTGAATAATAAAAACATTTTATTATCCGCTTAATTCGAAAATAATCCGAACGAAAAGATTTCTCCTGGTGATTTTTAACAATTTTTAGATGCGTGAATTTTGGTTAATAAATTTTATGTGAAGTTTAAAATTATGAAATTATGTATGATACACAATCATCGAAAGTTTTCGAAATGTTATGAAACGTTAAATCTAGACTGTAAAAATAAGTTTTTCAATCATCCGAAATTATGGACGTTAGTTTGTTAGCTTACTACTAGTAAAAATGAATTTCGAAAGTCGTATTTTTTAAAATTA